GTGTGTGTGTGTGTCTAAAAATCCCTCTAAATCCTGAGTTATTACACCACATATATGAGTTTTTATTTGATAAACAGTAATGTCTCTATGGCGTTGTTTCATTGATTGTTTTCTCTAACCTCCTACTTCCTGTCCTTAGACACGTCCTATTGGTTCGTCACCATCAATGATGCAGCCCCCACGGCACCTGGACCCCTCCCTGCTGAAACAGGCCCCACCCCACAAACCGTACCTGGATAACTACTTGTCCCACAATACCCCTGAGATGCAGAAGGATGCTGCTTCTCTCGGATCCTACAACAACTTCCCTTTAAGTACGTTAGCTTCTATCAGTCTATTCTCCCAAACCTTAATGAGGATGCATTAATTAATCAATTTCTGTTGAATTTGATCATATTTAAATCCACAATGACTCAATTTCTTTTCTCTTCTTCCATCACTCCCACCAGGCTTGAACTCTAACCTGAATGTATCCCTGGACATGGGTGTTGGTGGTGGTAGTGGTGGCGGAGCTGTGAGCTACAAAGAGCCGCCCCAGTCCAAACTGAAGAAACTTTGGGCTACTGACCCTCTGGAGCAGAACAGCAAACCTGGTACACAGTCTGTTTTTGTCCTTCTCAGAGTACAGTTGTCTATAGGAGAGGTGATCATGTTCTTCTGGGGTTTGAACTGCCACAAAGAAAGAAGCAGTAATTGGGCAAACACTGAAACAGTTGCACGCTTATAAAGAATATATGCTGGCTAGAACATTTCATTCATAAAAATTATTACTTTATTACTATTATTAAATTATTATTAAATTATTACTATTACTATTATTTAGTATAATCAAATCAATGGCTGTCTGTGTCATTGTGTCCTCATGTTTGTGTGTCTTTGTCCCACAGGTGCTATGTCGTCTGGGCTGCGTCTGGAGGACTCTCCCTTCTATGACTTCCTGTCTCCTGGCCCATCTCCCCTGAGTCCTCCCGGCCAATCAATGGGCTCGGTGGGCGATGGCTGGCCGCCCCGTGCCAACTCCCCCCCGCCCCATGGAAACACTGTCACCTGGCCCCCAGGTAAACTTGCTTTCATACACGAAAACAAAAAAGAAAACGTTTGCACTGAAAACAAATCGCTAACTGTGTTGTATCTGTCTGTGTCTGCAGAGTTCCGGCCCGGGGAGCCTTGGAAAGGTTACCCCAACATTGACCCTGAGACTGACCCTTATGTGACCCCCGGCAGTGTCATCAACAACCTCTCCATCAACACCGTCCGCGACACAGACCACCTCAGGGACAGGAACAACGGTAGGACACACGGCCAGACAACACAAACTAGCGTTGAGTTTTAGACCACGCCTGTTGTTGAGATTATTTGTTTGAGATTTACGTAATATTAGTCAACATTTCCTCCGAGATGGTGCTCAGATCTCATTATCAAGTTGTAGCTACAGGTGATTAACATTATTTGTACCATTTACAGTACATTTACAAACTTTCTACCTTCTGAGTCAACAACTCTCACTACAGATCTCAGTGGACTTGTAGTTCTTAAATATCAAGTTCTTCATTTTTGTTACAAAAAAATGTTAAGACATTTAAAATAATTCAGGTTTGATGAGCAGCTTAGAGAAAATCCTGTTTAACACTCATCGACACTAATCCTTCTCCTTTTGTTTCCCAGGGCCATCCTCATCACTGAACACCACGATGCCTTCTAACAGTGCCTGGTCATCCATTCGTGCCTCCACCCACAGCGGTTCCCTCACCAGTACAGCACAAAGCACTTCAGGTATGCCTTCCTGTTTGTAGTTGAAATAGAAGGAGAAAGACGTTTAAATATTGATATATCCAGAGTGAGTCCTAGTCCTAGATCTGTAAGCAAATATGTGACAATGGACCGGAGGAAGTTAAAAGGTTCCACTTTGCTCTCTTCTGTCCTTGCAGCCAGACCCAGCGAGTCAAAGTGGTCTCCCGGCGGTGGTTCTGTGTCCAACTCCTCCCTGGCCCATGAGCTGTGGAAGGTCCCCCTGCCTCCCAAGGCGCTGTCTGTGGCGGCCCCCTCTAGACCACCACCCGGCCTCACCAGCCAGAAGCCCAGCTCTGCCTCCTCCGGCTGGGACGGCTCTGCCCTGAGGCTGGGAGGGTGGGGCTCCTCTGAGTCCAGATACACACCTGGTGAGGGCAGACAGAGACGCACATGTACGACACTACCTGTAGTATTGTTTGAATAATGTTTGGTCAGGTTTTGGCAACAACTAGACTATTAAAACGGTAAACTTCTTTTGGTCAATAACTATTTGACCAAACATTCGTATGTCCTGGTGCATGCCATGGGCATTTTAACCTGACATTTTGTTGCAGAATATGCTGAACCAATTGGTCTAGCCTTTGGTTTTGTTGGGTGGGAGACCAAATTGTGTGGAAAGATTATGTGGAGCACAAATACCAATGATTTGCTAATAATAATAATAATAATAATAGCTTTGCTTGGAATAATGATTAATGACTAAACGGATGCTACTTTTAGTAAGCCTTCATGAGGATTTTTATGATTTAAATAGTTGTTTCCGGCAATACTCCCTCCAACACTATTCACTTGCAATTCTCGTTGTTAGATATCTGATAGGTCATGAAGAAATGCAGGGTGTGCTACTCGTAGTATGTAGACTCACAAGTTCTTTAAAATTGGGTTGAAATAACTTGAGAGTTTAAAAAAAAACCTTCAGCACAGTGACGTGGTAATCATGTCCTTGTAAACAGCGTCCTACAATACAACAAACAGTTTGTTTCACTATGGGGGGGACCATTGTTTCAGGTAAGGCGTGT